TTCACCTCAAATTAAAGTGAAACCGCAAAATGTGAAAATGAAGAAAAAAGTCACGCAATTAATTAAGAAAAGAAAAAAAAAAAAAAAAAGATAACGGTGTACTAACACCGTTGGAACTGTGTTCACCATTCATGGTGAACACGGTTCCATGGCATAACGCTCCCGAATGAGGGTGGTAGGGTTTTGGGAGGCTGGTTTCATTGCTTCTGTGGATGGTCACATAGGTCCCCTCGGATAAAAATGTAGAGCTCTGTACTGCGGGGGATCGACCTGACGCTTGAGGGTGAAACTAGTCCTTCTTTGGCTTCGGAGCACCGTTCCCACCCTTTCTGTAGGGCTTGACGCCCAGGAATTGTCCAGTTTTGCATGTGATACAGGTGGTTTGTAGAATGGGTGTTGGGCCCACTTGGTGGTTTAGAATTTATTTCATTTATTAGTTAGCATTAGGCCTCTTTGCTTTATTCTTTTATCTCTTTGTAGCCTTGGTCACTTTTTGGGCCTTGACAAGACGTTGTTTTGGTTTTTAATAAGAGTTCCTTCTTTAAAAAAAAATATGTAAAAACAAAAAAATATGTAGAAACAGATTGAATAGTAGCTTATTCTAACCTTGTCCAATGTTTGGTGTGGATATGCTTCTGAGCTCCTCTGAACTGCGTATTACTTGCGGAGGTAGTATAGGGTGTGCATGATTATGAAAAGACTGCCAAATGGTTTCATTTTTTTGGCCAAAAATGACAAGGTTTCCATCCTCCCTCAAATTCAAACCATAGACGATGAGAGGATTATTAGAATTAGTTTGATGGGTGGACCAAACCAGGGATCCATTAGCGTCCATCAACGACAACCCTCTTCCATCTCGATTGAGTTCCACTGTTGCATTTGCTGTGACTGGATGGTTCCAGTTACCCGACCAAACTAAAACCAAGAAATCCGAGGGATAATAGCGTATGCAGACACCGAAGAAGCAGGTAGTGCCCAAGTCATCACAGATTACGCCACATGCAACGTCCCATTCACTGCTTTGTCTGTACAGGATAACCGTCGGTATTTGAACTCCATTTCTAAAATTGAAGGCATCGTTATTAGTCCAGGAAACAGTAGAAGAGTTGGCAATATAATACTCGTCATCCGGCAGCGGCGGCGGTTGCCCCAAGATAAGGCCGGGTTGCGAACAAAGGAATAGCATGCTACATAATAATAATAATAATAATAATAATAATAATAATAATAATAAAGATGATTGGGTGTCATGCGAAGCCATTATTGTGTTTATGTTTGTGTTTGTGTGTAATCAAATTAAAGGATCGATGAGCAACGTAACAATGGGTAGGAAAGCAAACCAAACGAAGGTCACAAGTGAAGTCAAGATAACAACACATCATATCGATCAACGCGTAATTAGTAATTAAGTCAAGTCTTCTTCTGCCCTGCTAACCATACATTTTCTGCACTCATTCAATTTCGAATAGACAGACAACAACAATCCTTGCTTCTTTAATTTGGAAAAGACTCAACTACATCTACTTCTAAATTCTATTCCCTTATGTGACAAATAATGAGATGATATTTTCATTATGTGGGTCACAAGGAAAAGTGTCTACATCAAAGATTTATGAGAGAAAGTAGAAGTTAGGAGCAAGAAGAGGGACTACATGCATGTAGAAAAAGAAAAATACTACTTTGCAATCTCAAATTCTACTCACAAATTTAAATTCTACTACATGGCTCCCAAATTTTACTCCTTGAAGTGGCGGCCATTGATAAGCTACTTTTTTCATGGGTGTCCCGATACAAGTGTCTACATCAAGATTTGATGTATTAAAGTAAAAATTGAGAATAAAAAATATACAGTACATATATTATATTCGTTTTTGGAATGAACATGGACTCTAAAATCCTATTCCAAATTTTTACTCACACTTGTATTCAAATTTAATGGGAGAAAGAAAAAGAATGAATAAAAATTATGATCCTTATTAAATTAAGCAATCAAACCATGTAACATTATAGGCGGTAAAAAATGAAAGTATACATAAAATTACTCTTGGAATTAACAAGCTAAACAATTAAAAAGTTCTCTTTCCAAACAACTCTACTATAATGCACCAATTCAATTCATGTAAGCATGAATGTCAAGTCTGTCTCTGTGTGGTGATTTATTTATTATTTTAAATATTATACCATTCCTCCATTTGCTGCATCTACTCTGCTCTTCTCTTGGAAGAGGGAAAACAAATTGATGAGAAATTTCATTTAGGTGTGTTTAAAAACCCAGAAAATAATTTCACTTTCTATGTTTGAAAAAAAAAAATGAAAATTTGAAATCAACTAAAAATGAGACATTAGTCAATAGAAAATGAGCCTATTTTTTTGAAAAACAACTTCCCTTTTTTTAAAGGGAAGTCATTTTCTCTTTTTTTTTTTTTTTTTTTTTTAAAGGAGAAATCATTTTCCGGATGTTGACTTCTCCATTTCTTCACGACAAGAGAAGGTAACTTTCTTCATCTTCATTGGCTTCTTTATCTTCACGAAAATCAGTGCTCAGGTTTCCGATGCGGAAACCAATGAATATTCTTTAAAAAAATTTGCTTATTCTAAATTGAAAAGTATTTTATTATTATTATTATTATTATAAATAAATATTTTTATATTTTAAATAAAATTATTAAAATATTTATTTATATAATTCTACTCATTTTTCAGAAAATGAACAAAACACACCAGTACAGTTTTTCAAAATTTATCAAACACCGGAAAGAAAAATATTTTTCAAAAAATGACTCATTTTCTAAAAAACATTTTTCAGAAATCATTTTTTTACTTTCCAAACAATCTTTTATTTAACAACTCCGCCCTTACATTGATCCAAGATGAACTTATGATGCAACCCAATCTAGACAAGCCCAATGCAACACTTATTTTTGCTTATTTCTTTATAAATTCAGGGGTACAAAGTAATATCCTCCATCCAACATCAACAGTATAACAAAGTTATGTGTTTTTCCTTCCTATAAGCATCATCAATTTTAGCAAGAATTTGTATATGAATCAGAAAAGAGGTAAAATTGTGAGTGAGGGTAATTTGATTCAGAATGCAGATAGATATACAGCCAATTGAATATGTATATGTAGTGTATGTGATGATATGTCACACAAAAATGGACTATTCACTTCATACACATAAAACTATCCTCCACTTTCAAAGGCAAGCAGATCATGAGAACTATCTATGCAAGCAGCGGACGAGAATTTAGCTTCCCTCCCACTCCCAGGTAGGATTGTCCCGGAATATGCATGCACCAATCTATCTACTAATACATCAAGCAGAGACTGGTCAGTTTTGTTAGTCACCAACACTGCACTAAAAAGACAAAGGATCAAATAACAAAAATAATGACATTTAAACAATCAAACAAGATAAGAACTCACTCGAGTTCACCAATCAAAATGGTTTTTACTTCATCAACAAGGAGGAAAGAATAACAAGTTCACAGCTAGCTTCCTCTAATATCAATGTCTTGTTACTTGTACCAGTTAAACAAGCTGACACCAACCCTTTCAACCAGGTAAATTCATCATGAAAGTAAAATACAGCAACCTGGAGATGCCAGAGAGTTAATTGTTGGTCAGTTTCATACAAAAAGTCAGTAAGTATGAAGGCATTGGATGTTGATGTCTCTGATGTAAACAAAAAGAGGATAAAAAGATGTTGATGTCCCTTACCATAGATTTCTTTCATTTTACGCCAGTTTTACATCAGCATACACCAGTGGATGGACAATACATGTAATTTTACATTATTAACATTCATGCACCTAGATGCAACTACTTATAACTATCCGTGCGTCTAGTTATAACGTTATGTGCACTTAATTTTGATGCTTAGTGTAAATTTTACTTGCACCTGTATTACATGTTACCTGCACTTGTAATACATTTTACATGCACTGAGATGTGCACTATATGAAATTGTTACTTTACACTTGTAATACATTTTACTTATAACTATCAACACAATATAGTTATAACAATCAACACAATGTAGTTATAACTAAAAAACTAATTCAGATCACATATCAATTCCTATTATTATGAAGTATTGAGTAACAAAGAAAGTTGTCATTTTGCAGGAGATACAAGGTGAGCATTCCCATTGGTCATTGCCTTCTTTGAAGTGTAGAAGAACTGAAGCAGCCCCCAAGAAGGCAGATTAACATGGCACTTTGAAAATCAATTGATGCTTATGAACTGAAATATTACCATATAAATTCATTAAAGCCAGTGCAGTTCGAAATAGCATTATATATTACTCGATTCCCTTTAAACAAAAGCACATCTCATACTCTAAGAACTACAAGTCATTAAGAGCTAAAGGGTTGCATAGTAACTAATTTGTATATCTTGTTTAACACTGCAAATATTCAATGTGAAATCACATAATTCACTTCCCATGAAAAGAAATTAACTCTTCTGGCAAGCAATGGAGTTAAATGGCAGTTCTCCTTCTTCCTGTTCGGCTGGGGACCTCGGATTTGCATCGGACAGAACTTCGCCATGTTAGAGGCTGAGATGGCATTGACTATGATCCTACGCCGCTATGCTTTCGAGTTGTCCCTGTCTTATGCGCATGCTCCTTAAGCTGGAACAGCTCTCGTACCTCAGTATGGCGCTCAGTTAATTTTGAGAAAAGTATAGCACAATTAGATACTAAATAATGTTACTTTGAACACATTGTTTAGCTTCTTGAATCTTGAGTGCGTGTTATATCTCAGAGTACTTGCCTATCAGTTTATGTATCGACTGGTCTCTTGTAAAACCGTCTCATGGGTCTCCATCCCATCTTTGAAATGAGTTAGATCTTATAAAAATGAATCATAATAGAATTGCAGAGAATTGAAAATATAATCAATACTTTAAATATACTCTGTAATACTTTATATTATAAATGTAATTTATGTATTTTATAACAAAAGTGTAATAGATAATTTTGTAAAATTGCATCAGTCGGAATTAGGTACATCATACACAAATAGAATTATACAAAGCTAAAGGTGTAAATTGTAGCAAATTAAAAAGATTAACAGGAAATTGATACCCAGGCCACTATCTAATAATTTGCTTTATTATGTTGTGACAGAATAATGGATTAAGCAGGCAGTTCACCTTGGCCCAGATAAAATTGATGGAATTAATACTGTATTGCTGGTAGCATCAAGAGCTGCTTCCCCCTCCTCATTACTGAAGTTGTAATCCAAGTTTAAGTTATTATCAACCGTTGCCAAACCTTGTAATGCCTTCACCACCACTGACATGGATGGCCTCTTGCTAAAATCATTCTGTAAACACCAAGCAGCAACCCTCATCATCTCTATTGCTTCTTCTTTCGGCACTTCCAAATCTCTGTTGTACATATCCAACATGTCTCCCAGTTGATCTTCTTCTATTTTTCTCTTGAACACACTCAGCAAATGCACTTCTTCTTCCTCAGCCTGATCCCAGTCCACATTCTTCCGCCCGCAAACAATTTCTAACATCACGATCCCAAAGCTGTACACATCTACTTTCTCCGTTATAATCAAGCTCGAGCATTCTGGGGCTATGTAGCCTGGAGTTCCTCTCATTGTTGTGACCACTTTGCTCTGGTCTTTTGCTACCAGCTTTGACAAACCAAAGTCTGCAACTTTTGCGTTGAAATTTTGGTCCAAGAGGATGTTCTGAGGTTTGATGTCCAAGTGAATGATCTTATGGTTGCAATCTTCGTGAAGATATGCTAACCCTTTGGCAATGTCTAACATGATTTTCTTTTTGGTTTGCCAAGTGAGACCATGTTCCAGCTGCTGCTTCCAATTAAAAATCCATTTATCCAAAGAGCCATTGGCCATGTGTTCATACACCAGAAGTCTCTGTGATTTTGCAGCACAAAACCCTATTAGTTTCACTAGATTGGCGTGATCCATGCTTCCTATTGATGCAACTTCCGCCAGAAATGAACTCTTTATTTGATCAACTTCCTTGAGGCACTTAACTGCAATTTTAGTGTCTTGGCGCAGTGCACCTTCAAAGACAGAACCAAATCCTCCTTCCCCTAGTTTCCTAGAGAAATTTTGGGTCATAGCACTCAAGTCTTGATAAGAAAATCGCATGGGCAAACCCGGCACACCATCCAAAAACGCCTCCTCATCATCTTCTTCGAGCTGAACTTTTTTCTTTCTAGCCAAGGATAAATAAATGGCGATGATTATTGTTAATACAACAGCGATGGAAGCACCAATAGTCCCCAAAATCTTTTTGGCATGCCTCTGCAGAATCCATGGATTACGACTCTGTAGGGTTGTGACGGTTGTAGACGAATTTTGCACCTTTAGATAAACAGCCATGGCGCTTCCGTTCATGGTCACAAGGGAGAAAACTTCATTCAGCAATAAACAGTATCCTTTTGAATAACCATTAAAATGAGCTGCTTTGCAGGAGCAGTTCCTTAAGCATGCCTGTTTACAACTTTCTAAATCCGTGTAGTCACCTAACTCGTCACTCAACAAATAGTCACCAATATAAGTAGTATCCTTCATCTCCAGAAGAATATGAAGTTGGGAATGTTCACACGAAATGGGAGTACTTAAAGAACATCCTTGGTTTGGATGACCAGTGTTTATTTGCGTGAAAAAGTTGTGTTCAGGAGGACAATTACAGTATTGATCACCCTCACAAACACTGTATCTTCCGCAAGCCAATGGGTATCCACAAAAACCAATTGAAGGTGCAAAAACATCATCAGCATTATTCCACGATTCAGTAGCATCATTCCACGAATGAGTATACGCTCTCAAATGCCCATCAGGCTCAAACTTGAGGGATGTATTGGTTTGCAAATAATATTCTGAAAGATTTACTCTTATACCATACCCATACCAGTAGGCATTAGAGGAGCGTAAATAAGCACGAGTCAAATAGTCATCACCAATGTTGAGCGAATACAAACCTTCTTCAAAGTTTGATGTAGATAAGCTGGCTTTGAGCGTCTGTCCCCTGCGTACTTGCCCAGGTAGTAGGGTGTCTGTAGGATGATCAAAAGACTGCCAAATGGTTTCATTACTTTTGCCAAAAATGACAAGGTTTCCATTCTCCGTCAAATTCAAACCCAAGGCCTCAGGACTCCCAATCCCATTAGTGTGTGTGTGTGTGGACCAAACCACTGTTCCATTAGAGTCCATCAAAACCAAGCCTCCATCTGGCCTGAGTTCCACGGTTGCATTAACTGTAACAGGATGGTTCCGGTTAGCAGACCAAACTAGACTCTGGTAATCCAAGTTTAATTCATCGGGTATATACGTTTGATGGAATAAGAGGACACCGAAGAGGCAGGTAGTGCCTAAGTCATCACAGATTAAGCCACACGCATACATTGTCGCACCATCATAATGAATGCTGCCATGACGGAACAGGAGAACTACAGATAATGGAACCCCATCTGAAGAATTTACCACACAAAAGCTACCGCTTATCATTAAAGTATTCGAGTATAATTAAAGTGATGATAGATGTACACATAAAAATTAGAAGATCATTTCCTTACTTTTACCGGAAGTCTTACCGAGGACAAATCTTGGTATCATTAATTGGATAGTCAAATCAAGAAATATTACTCGAAAATTAATTTTGGTATTAGGCAATATTTGAAAGCCGGTTAATTTCCGGTATTAACTTTTTATATTATTATATAATTATTAATGGTGAATAAAATTCAAATATTTATACTTACATATGTATGTTTAGAACGTAGCATTAAATTTTGGTACTTTGTAACCTAACTTTGCTAAATTGGCAGACAAATTAATTTTAAAAATTAAACTATAAAATCTTTTTTCAAAATATACATTAATTGAAGTGTAATTTTCATGATAATGTTTAATTTGTGTGATATACTGATATGGTATCCTCACACTGGATAGCAATATTAATTGTTCCTAAATGAAAATAGCTAGAGCCTTATTAATGAGTGAACCAAAAGAGATGTTAAATAGAGTGCAAGTTAATTAAGCACACCACATACCAAGCAATTGTAAATTAGTTATTACAATTTGGCATAGGAAAATCATAATGGAAACAATCAAACAGAGAGTAAGCAAATAATAATGAAAATAACAATCAAAAGTAAATGGGGCACTTGCATAGATGCTATAAGATGTCTATACTTGCATATTTGTTCTTTTGCCAATGGAATTGCACATGTCAGCCTAAAAATGTTTTGGTATCATATTTAAAGCAGAATTAATTTCACTTTTGGTCCCACGACTTTAGAGGATCTATCACTTTTGGTGCACAACTTTAAAAATTTTCAATTGGTGCCTAACTTTGTTGTTTTTATCAATTTTGGTCCTTTCAACCAAATTGACGACGAAATATTGCCGGATTTTATATTTTTAGGGGTAAAATCGTCATCCCAAGGAAACATCTTCAATATCTAAACAAAATCACTCTAAAATCATATCTATAGGTGTTTGATCGATGAGAATAATTGGGAAGATGGACAGAAACTAGATACAGATCTATGAGATTTATAGCATCGACGATTGCCAAACTCTTATATTTCTCTTAACATGATTTTTCTTTTGTTTAGATATTGAATATCTTTCCTTGGGATGACGATTTTGCCACTAAAATGTAAAATCCGGCAATATTTCGCAGTCAATTTGGTCGAAAGGACCAAAATTGATAAAAATAACAAAGTTAGACACCAAAATTGAAAAAATTTAAAATTGTGCACCAAAAATGATAGAACCTCTAAAATCGTAGGACCAAAAGTGAAATTAGTTCTTTAAAGTATATAAACATACATTTATATAAGTTCATATACTACCAGGACTATGTGGTCTAATGGTATCCGGGTTGGACTTCCATTTGGAAGGTTATAAGTTCGAGCCTCAGTGGAGGCGTTATTAGCTCTCTGTGTTTCAGTAGGTTGAGAAAGTATATGAACAGATACTACAATGTAATAGAGCTAGTAGCATTCAAAAAAAAAAATATAAGTTCATGTACTACAATACAAGTCGGAGAGAATATATATATATATTTTCAAAGATTAGATTGAATTAATTTTTACTTTCTATCCTTGAATTATAAATAAAAATATATTTGTAGTCAGAATATAATGAAAAGCTACAAAAAAGAATGAACACTAGCTAGCTAGCTAACCTTGTCCATAGTTTGAAGTTGATATGCTGCCGTAGATAAGCTCCATTGCCCTGCGATTTTTTACTTGCCCAGCTCGCTGAGGTGGTATAACGTCCACTGGATAATCAAAAGACTGCCAAATGGTTTCATTATTTTGTCCAAAAATGACAAGATTTCCTTCCTCCGTCAAATTCAAACCGGAGACGACACGACTCCCATTGGTATTGGTGTGCGTGGACCAAACTAGGGATCCATCAGAGTCCATGAGAAACAACCCTCCATCTCGCCTCAGTTCCACGCTTGCATTTACTGTCACAATTCGCTTCTGGATAGCAGACCAAATTGGATACTGGTACTGTTCAGTCGAGTTGTAAAAAAAGACACCGAAGAGGCATGAAGTGCCCACGTCATCACAGATTAGGCCACATGTGAGGCTGGTAGAAGAAGTGATTTGTCTGAACAGGATAAGCCTGGATAATCCAACTCCATCCGAATGATTTGCGACATAGGAGTAGTTACTATTACTGTTGGTCCAGGAAATAGAGGAGGAGGAGTTGCCGATGTTATACTCCGCAAGCGGTTGCCCCCGGGTGGATTGCGAACAAAGGATAAGTAGTAGTAGTAGTAGGAGAGCTTGAGCTGCTGCAAGGATACCAAGTAATGATGATTGGGTTTGGGAAGCCATTATTGTGTGTGTGTATGTGTAATCAAAGGATAAGTAGTAGGAGAGCTTGCGCTGCTGCAAGGATACCAAGTAATGATGATTGGGTTTGGGAAGCCATTATTGTGTGTGTGTATGTGTAATCAAAGGATCGGAGTGAGGAGCAACAATATAATAATGGGTAGGAAACCAAACCAGCTCACAAGTCACAAGTCAACGCGTAAGCTACTAATTATGTCAAGTCTACCAACCCAGTCTTCTTCTGCCCTACTGTCATAAATTTTCTGCACATTCAATTTTGGAATCAAATAAAAAATATTACTTTTTTTTTTTTTGGAAAGGAATCAAAAATATTACTTGGACTGAAAAAATCTAATCTCAACTTTGATTCCTACTAAGAGCATCCACAATAGTGAAGTTATTTCATGTAAGCAAGATTGTCTGCCTGTGTGGTGTTTTATTTATTATTTTAAATATTATATCATTCCTCCATCTGCTCTGCTCTTCTCTTCTCTTGATAAGGAGAAATTCCATTTATTAACAGAATAGTAGTAACTAGTAAGCTGCTTTCTAAAAAAAAAAAAAAAAAAAAAGGAATAGTAAGCTCCGCCCTTACATTGATCCAAGATGAAATTAATGATGCACCCCAATCTATGCAAGCCCAATGCTATACATTAATTTATTATTATAAATGTCATTTTCCCGCCTAAATGAAATGGCATCATTCCATGGTATAATCTTAATTGCTAGATTAATTGTAGATTAATTATGGACAACTGAATTATTAATCACAATGAGTTTTAAATGTCTTGGGAAAAAATAAAGAATCATTTATTTACTATATATAGTTCAATTTATTAATTTTAAATTATATATATATATATATATATATATATATATATATATATATATATATATATATATATATATATATTTATTTATTTATTTATTTATTTAAAAATGTAAAATTTTAAAATATCATGTGATATCTAATAACACAATGCCTAATAATATATGTTAATAGTATGTTGTGATGTTTTAATATAACAACCAATTTAGTATTATTAAAAAAAAAAATAACATTTCATAATTAATTTTAATGATTGATGTTTGAATTTTATCAACAATAAAAAATATTTAAATTTTATACCGTGCATCAACAAATACTAGTATTATATATAGTAGTAAAACAATCAGAAACTAAAGTTATAATGGTAGAAGTGTAGAACAAACTTATGTTTTTTCTCTTCCTATAAGCATCATCAATTTTAGCAAGAATTTGTATATGAATCAGAAAAAAGGTAAATTCGTGAGCGAGGGTGATTTGATTCAGAATGCAGATAGATATACAGCCAATTGAATATGTATAGTATATGTGATGATATGTCACACAAAAATGGGCTATTCACTTCATACACATAAAACTATCCTCCACTTTCAAAGGCAGGCAAACCATGAGAACTATCTATGCAGAGCAGCAGACGAGAATTTAGCTTCCCTCCCAGGTAGGATTGTCCCGGAATATGCATGCACCAATCTATCTACTAATACATCAAGCAGAGCAGAATGGTCAGTTTTGTCTGTCACCAACACTGCACTAAAAAGACAAAAGGATCAAATAACAAAAATAATGACATTAAAACAATCAAACAAGGTAAGAACTCACTTGAGTTCACCAATCAAAATAGTTTTTACTTCATCAATGAGGGAAGAATAACAAGTTCAAAGCTTCCTCTAATATCAATGTCTTGTTACTTACTTGTACCAGTTAAACAAGCTGACACCAACCATAATTTGTTGAGATTAACAATAACAAGAAACAATAATAATGACAGAAAGTAAATAAGACAAGATTTACGTGGTTCGGCAATATGCCTACATCCACAGGAGTGAAACAATTCTTATATTCATAGTGATGGTAATGGTGGTGACACGACCCCTTAGAGATACAACCAATATATTTATAAGTATCTAATCCCTGTACAAAGGGTCTACCCGTTTCACTCCTACTCCTAGTATGAGACAAACTCATATTCCTAATCCGAGACAAACTCAACATAATTGTTCCAAGACCAACCCCCCTTTCAACCAAGTAAATTCATCATGGAAGTAAATACAGCAACCTGAAGATGCCAGAGAGTTAATTGCTGGTCAGTTTCATACAAAAAGCAATGAACTTCAACAAAGGAGAAAATTACTGTTTATAATCAGTATCTCAGTTCATACCAAAATAGTAACAGCCTCCTCCCACTATTGTCACCTTAACTGCACTTGTGACAGATACAAGAATAAATTCTGTCAACACCTGCAACAAATCTGTTCATATAAGGAAAAAAGAAATGCATATATGGAAAAAAAAAAAAAAATTGTAAGAGTTGATTGTTGTGCTCTGCATAACATCTGTTTGGGAAGACTTTAGTAACAAATGAATAATATTACATTAAGGGGGCGTTTGGTTCAGGTTATATAACATAACCAAAGGAATGTAACATTCCAAAGTTCACATAACAGTGTTTGGTTCATATTATCTTAGGGAATGTGACATTCCCAAAGAATGTCACATTCCTTCCACATAGGATTTTGAAGGGAATGTGATTCCCTTCAAAATCTTAGGTAATGTAAGATAACCTTGGTTATGTTAGTTTATTATATATATATATATATATATATATATATATATATATATATATATATATATATATATGTAATTATATATTTTTTAATTTTTATTATGTTATGTTAGCATATAAAATAATTTTGTTTCTCAAGTTCAAAATTTTAGAGTTAATATTTTAAAATCATGTAATTATATATGATACCGTTATCTTATTTATTTATTTTAATTTTAAAATTTATTAAAATATATGAAAATATGTTAAGGATATTATAGTGTGTATAAAAGATAACCCTAAACCAAACATGATTATATTACATACCCCAATTTTAACCAAACACAGGAATCTAACATTCCCAGTAATCTAACATTCCCAGCAATCTAACATTCCCTAAGGTAATCTGACATTCCGTGAACCAAACGGCCCCTAAATATTTTATTTTGACAGGTCCTATCTTCTTTTAGATATAAAAGGAGGCCACCATTAAAATATTGGAACTTTAGAGGATCATCAACAAACTAAATTCAAATATCCAAGTCCAGAATTCATACCATAAAGAAAGCCAGAACTCCACTAAAAAGCATCAGTAAACAACTTCTGGCGATATGCCATGGGCTATTGAAGTGATTGCTCTTACTGAAGTCATGCCATGGATCCAAAAAAAGCAAGAGCAGTGCCGTTGAAAGAGCCATCACTGGAGTAACGTAGCTCATTAGGGTAAGCGGATTTTTCAGACCTGGAATTAATCAATGTAAACAGTTCAGCTTTTCTTCAATTAATGGTGAATAACTAACTCCTAATCCGGTAAATAACATGAAGTAAAACTATATACAACTGTACAAATAAATACGGAATAAATAACTGGATTAGACCAAGAAATAACAATCTGTATCTGCATAGACATGCTCACATGCACAAAAAGTCAGTAAGTATGAAGTCATTGGATGTTGATGTCTCTGATGTAAACAAAAAGATGATAAAAAGATGTTGATGTCCCTTACCATAGGTTTCTTTCTTTTTACGCCAGTTTTACATCAGCATACACCAGTGGGATGGACAATACAAGTGCGTGTAATTTTACATTGTTAACATTCATGCACCTAGGTGCAACTACTTATAACTATAGATGCATCTAGTTATAACGTTATGTGCACTTAAATTAGTTTTGATGCTCACTGTAAATTTTACTTGCACCTGTATTACATGTTATCTGCACTTGCAATACATTTTACATGCACTATATGAAATTGTTACTTACACTTGTAATACATTTTACTTATAACTATCAACACAATATACTTATAACAATCAACACAATATAGTTATAACTAAAAAACTAATTCAGATCACATATCAATTCCTATTATTATGAAGTATTGAGTAACAAAGAAAGTTGTCATTTTTCAGGAGATGCAAGGTGAGCATTCCCATTGCCTTCTTTGAAGGCACCAGTAGTCCCCAAAATGGTCTTGGCATGCCTCTGCTGAATCCATGGATGAGTATGTAGGGTGGACGAATTTTGCACCTTTAGATAAACAACGTTGTTGCTTGTCCCGGTCACAAGGGAGAGAACTTCATTCAGCAATAAACAGTATCCTTCTGAAGAACCATTAAAATGAGCTGCTTTGCAGGAGCAGTTCCTTAAGCATGCCTCTTCACAACTTTCTAAATCCGTGTAGTCATCAAACTGGCCACTCAACCACTGTTCCATTAGAGTCCATCAACAACAACCCTCCATCTGGCCTCAGTTCCACGCTTGCATTTACTGTGACAGGATGGTTCCGGTTAGCAGACCAAACTAGACTCTGGTAATCCAAGTTTAATTCATTGGGTATATCCGGATCCATATTATCCTGGAGATCAAGGCGTTGATGGAGTAAGAGGACACCGAAGAGGCAGGTAGTGCCTAAGTTATAACAGATTAAGCCACACGCATACATCCCACCATAATCATTAATGTTGATTTCACGGAACAGGAGAACTACAGATAATGGAACCCAATCTGAAGAATTTACCACACAAAAACTGCTGCTTATCATTAAAGTATGCGAGTATAATTAAAGTGATGATAGATGTACACATAAAAATTAGAATTAAAATTCAAACAAAATTTCTAATTCCCAACTCTTAAACAACAATAGGATATAATTAGAAATTTAGGATTCCTAAACAACAATACAACAATTAATCCAATTTATTTTAATATATACTAACTATTATATATATATATATATATATATATATATATATATATATATATATATATATATATCTTATGGCTTATGGGTCTCCTCTAGAGGCGGGCCCTGAGCAGGTGCCCAGCCTGCCTACTCCTCTAGGACGGCTCTATATATATAGAATTATGTTCAAATGCGGTTGGTGCACTCATGTACAGTTGTGCGATTAAATCTGAGCCATTGATCTTGCTTAAATCAACGTTTAGAATTATTATAAAAAAAATCGGTGGCAATTTGGTAATTTTGCATCTAGGTCAAAATTAAGGTGCGTGAGTTTTGTGTTTAAGATACGCGGGTTGTGTGCTTAATGTGAGTAGTTGTTGAAACTTAAGGTGCGTGAATTTGTGCTTAATATGAGTAGTTGTTGAAATTTAAAGTGCGTTATTTGTATGTTTAAGATGCGTCAGTTGTATGAAACTTAAGGTGAGCCATTTTAAAATCTTAGGTGCATGATTTGTATTTTAAGATGCTTTGTTTGTATGCTTAAGGTACGTGGTTTGTGTACTTAAAGTGCGTCATTTTAATGTTCAATATGCGTCAATCGCACAACAGCACGGAAAGCCTATATATATATATATATGGTAGGGTCCAGTGAGAACATGTACTTAGGTGAGAATATGAGAACACATCATGTGCATCAATCTAATATTTTTTTAATGAAATAGATTAGATTAAGTGTGTGCGAACGCGCATTAAATGTGTGCAAGCACACTTAATCGCGTTTGCACACATTTAATGCGCATTCGCACACACTTAATCTAATTAGACCATTAAAAAATATTAAATGGATACTTCTCACCTAAGCAGGTGTTCTCATATGATCTTTTATATATATATATATTCAAAGATTAGATTGAATTCATTTTGACTTTCAGTCCTTCAAAAGCTACAAAAAAGAATGAACACTAGCTAACTAGCTAACCTTGTCCATAGTTTGAAGTTGATATGCTGCCTCTGATAAGCTCCATTGGCCTCAGATTTTTTATTTGCCCTTGCCAAGGTGGTATAATGTCCAGTGGATAATCAAAAGACTGCCAAATGGTTTGATTATTATTTTGTCCAAAAATGACAAGATTTCCATTCTCCGTCAATTTCAAACCGGAGACATTGGTATTGGTGTGCGTGGACCAAACCAGGGATCCATCAGACTCCATCAGAAACAACCCTCCATCTCGCCTCAGTTCCACGCTTGCATTTACTGTCACAGTTCGCTTCTGGATAGCAGACCAAATTAGATACTCGTACTGTTCAGTCGAGTTGTAAAAAAGGACACCGAAGAGGCATGTAGTGTCCAAGTCATCACAGATTAGGCCACATGCGAGGCTCGTAGAAGAAGTGATTTGTCTGAACAGGATAACCCTGGATAATCTAACTCCATCTAAATAATTTGCGACATAGGAGTAGTTACTATTACTGTTGGTCCAGGAAATAATAGAGGACGAGTTGCCAATATTATACTCCGCAAGCGGTTGCCCCCGGGTAGATTGCGAACAAAGGATAAGTACTACTGTACTAGTAGTAGTAGGAGAGCTTGCGCTGCTGCAAGGATACGTAGTAATGATGATTGGGTTGGGGAAACCATTATTGTGTGTGTGTATGTGTAATCAAAGGATTGGAGGAGCAACAATATAATAAATAATACTCCGTAATGGGTAGGAAACCAAACCAAGCTCACAAGTCTCACATGTCTTCCTCTGCGGCTAGTTATTAAGTCAAGTCTACCAATCTAGTCTTCCTTTGCGGCTCATTCAATTTTGGAATCAAATCAAAAATATTACTTAGCATGAGTAAAAGTTGGGATTGAGACTAGATTTTGTAATCTAGTCTCAAGTGTTTAAATTTTATTAGAAGAAAATAAATAAATAAAAATCATGACCCCTATTATATTAAACAATCAAAGGTACATATAAAATTACTTTTTTCGAATACACAACAGGAGACTGGATTGCTTGTTTAGTTTTTGGAATTAACATGCAATTCATTCTCTAATTAAAAGCGTAACTTCTCTTTTCAAACAAACCTGCGATAATGCACCAAATCATGTAACCAAGATTGTCTGTCTGTGTGGTGTTTTATTTATTATTTTAAATATTATATCATTCCTCCATCTGCTCTGCTCTTCTCTTGATAAGGAGAAATTCCATTTATTTAACAACAGAATAGTAGTAAGCTCCGCCCTTACATTCATCCAACATGAATTAATGATGCAACCTAATCTATGCAAGCCCAATGCTATACATTAATTATTTTAGTGTTTTTTTTTTTTTTGGTAATATCACCCATTCGTATATAGTAGTAAAACAATGAGAAACTCAAGTTATAATGGTAGAACAAACTTATGTTTTTTCCTTCCTATACGCATCATCCATTTTAGCAAGAATTTGTATATGAATCAGAAAAGAGGTAAAATTGTGAGGGTGATTTGATTCAGAATGCAGAGATATACAGCCAATTGAATATATGTAGTATATGTGATGATATGTCACACAAAACTGGGGCTATTCACTTCATACACATAAAACTATCCTCCACTTTCAAAGGCAGGCAGAGATCACGAGAACTATCTATGCAGAGCAGCGGCCCACTCCCAGGTAGGATTGTCCCGGAATATGCATGCACCAATCTATCTACTAATACATCAAGCAGAGCAGACTGGTCAGTTTTGTCAGTCACCAACACTGCACTAAAAAGACAAAGGATCAATCAAATAACAAAAATAATGACATTAAAACAATCAAACAAGGTAAGAACTCACTCGAGTTCACCAATCAAAATAAAAGTGGTACAGAGAAGTCAAGGCCCATCATCTTCTTGATCATCCATTTCTTCAAGAATGACATACTTGGTGGCATTTTTAGTAACCGACCCTTCTATTTCATCTTCTTCACTCGAGTGACCCTTTTGTAATTTCTTGTACCTGATAAATACAAGCCATCCAGCAATTCATAATCATCTCAATCGTGACTTGAGAAGCCATAAGAACAATCAAGAATGACAAAGTGAAGACTAGACTTCCTCTACAAATGAAACCAATAAGGTTTCCTTTGCAAACAGTGAATCTATATCTTCTACTAAATAGATAAGAAACAAATGGTTTTTACTTCATCAACAAGGAGGGAAGAATAACAAGTTCACAGCTTCCTCTAATATCAATGTCTTGTTACTTACTTGTACCAGTTAAACAAGCTGACACCAACCATAATTGTTCCAAGACCAAGCCCTTTCAACCAGGTAAATTCATCATGAAAGTAAAATACAGCAACCTGAAGATGCCAGAGAGTTAATTGCTGGTCAGTTTCATACAAAAAGCAATGAACTTCAACAAAGGAGAATATTACTGTATATAATCAGTATCTCAGTTCATACCAAAATAGTAACAGCCTCCTTGACAACTCCCGCTATTGTCACCGTAACTGCACTTGTAACAGATACAAGAATAAATTCTGTCAACACCTGCAACAAATCTGTTCATATAAGGAAAAAAGAAATACATATATGAAAAAATAAAAATAAAAAATTCTAAGAGTTGATTGTTGAGCTCTGCATAATATCATAATATCTGTTTGGGAAGACTTTAGTAACAAATGAATAATATTACATTAAATATTTTATTTTGACAGGCCCTATCTTTTTTTAGATATAAAAGGAGGCCACCATTAAAATATTGGAACTTTGGAGGATCAACAAACTAAATTCAAATCTCCGAATCCAGAATTCATACCATAAAGAAAGCCAGAGTTCCACCAAAAAGCATCAGTAAACAACTTCTGGTGATATGCCATGAGCTATTGAAGTGATGGCTCTTACTGAATTCATGCCATGGATCCAAAAAAAGCGAGAGCAGTGCAGTTGAAAGAGCCATCACTGGAGTAACATAGCTCATTAGGGTAAGCGGATTTTTCAGACCTGGAATAAATCAATGTAAGCAGTTCAGCTTTTCTTCAAAAAATGGTGAATAACTAACTCCTAATCCGGTAAATAACATGAAGTAAAACTATATACAACTGTACAAATAAATACAGAGTAAATAACTGGGTGAACCCAAGAAATAACAATCTCTATCCTCATAGACATGCTCACATGCACAAAAAATCAGTAAGTATGAAGGGGCATTGGATGCTGATGTCTCTGATGTAAACAAAAGGAGGATAAAAAGATGTTGATGTCCCTTACCATAGGTTTCTTTCTTTTTACGCCAGTTTTACATCAGCATACACCAGTGGGATGGAAAATAGGAGCCAGGAAAACAAATAGACAATGTAAGTCACCTATTTGTTTTGGATATTAAATAAATTCTCCAGACCTGCAAATAAGATTAGAAGTACCATACCTGCAGAAGTATCTGCGTCATTGTCCATCGAAACCCAGACATAAAAGCAGCAAGCATAACTAAGATGAAACCCCAAAACTGAAACTCCGTTTCCTTTGCAACTGCAAGAATGAAGGATACAAGTTAGAGATAACCATAAACCACAAACAGAAAGAGGCAGCAAAATTGTTAAGTGCTAAACTAAATTATCTCATTACTTACTGAAATATAAGACATGTATCAAATGTGTAAAGAATTGGTTATATTTCAATGCACCTTTTAGCATTTGATAGTTAAGTCTCTGGGAATTTCATAGCCTATAAATACTAGACTTTTGCCAGATTTCAATCAAGTTAATCTAGTAATTACGTAATGTATCTTGTCCCATGCAAAAGTGTGTGTATCTTCCCCCATTATTCTACTAGCTTAACAGATGTAGCTTCCACCTTACCAACAGGTGGTGGTCCACTGGTCCATTGCCACCCAAGAGACCTTCCAACTTAGTATTCTTAACAACATTGATATTACAAGATGGACACAAAATATAGATAGTTCAAAGTGTACTAATGTACTATGCCATGGAAAAGGAAGAGAGAAAAGAAGCATGGATTTTTTATACAAAACTATGCCAGATGTGTCAGAATGTTAGATGGGCATGGGATATTTGAAATAACACATACAGAAATCAATACAATCTATAATTGATACACGGGTTGCATAGAAGAAAGGCCATATACGCATCAAAAGATTAGAAGTCACAAGATAATCATGAAATGAGAAAAAAGAAAGATGATCCAACCTTCACTTTTTAAAGAAGTTAGCATAAGCTCAGCATTGTTTCTACACCCAATGCAATAAGGGTGTCATTCATAAAACAGTAATAAACCATCAAGAGAACTTCACTCATCCTATAGGTGAGCAGCTTAACTGCTTAAGCTTGTCCACTTCTTGAAAACTGGAGTGTTAATTATTTTAAATGCTTAAGAGTAACTTGTTACTTATTTAAGCCCCCCACAAGGCCACAATCCACACACACACAGAGAAGGAAAAAAAGGAAGAACAAAACAAAGAAAACCTGTGGAAGTTAAAGTAGATTGTAATTACTTTATTATCCATTTAACTTGATCAAAAAAAAAATTGAATTGATTAAGATTAATAGATAAAAATACATAATAACTTCCGGATGACCATGACATTAATCAGATAGCATTGGAAATTTGGAAGTAATAATTGGAACTTATTTTGTTGGCAATACATAAGGAAACAAATGTTCAGTAATAAGAATGTCAAATCCTAATAAAATATGCTTATAATAAATTGATGAAGGAGAAGCTGCATACCCGTCAACAATATTCCAACTGAGATAATTAAGATGATTCCGAACAGTTTAAAACTTGGAGACTCCAACCTTCCATAGAGAGTTTTAGGTTAGGTAGACTATCATAGGAAATATAAAATGCAAACTTAAGAAAAAGTTCATTCTAATCATATTACAATCGCATGCTTTCAATCAGTGTGGACTGAATCACAAGGTCATTTGAAAAATATATTTAAAAATGAGGAAAGAATCAGCATCACTTGTCATATAAAATATGAGAGTGATATGTGTGGATTTGGTGACATTTATTAGATACATACTCTCTCAGTGGTGCACTAATTGGACTTGCTTCAGAGAGAATATAATAATCATATATATATATATATATATATATATATATATATATATATATATATATATATATATATATATATATATATATATAAATCCTTTGTATATAAGCAACGCCTCTTCTTTCACAAAACAAATGCTCTTCCATGGGAAGGGAGGGAGGGGGGTAAATCTTGCTAAACTTACAACATAAAATGCAGAAAGAGTAACTTTTAGATTAACATACTGTTTCGCATATTTTATGACAAATATAAAATCAGTTACTTACACTAGTATAATGACAAATGAAGTTTAAATATACATAGTTCTTTAATAACATGGGTAAGAAATTACCTGAAAGCAAAGGCAAAAAACAGCAGGAATATTGGTGCTGCTGATTTACACTGCAACAGAAGCATAACAGATTTCCATTAATGAGTTTAATCATTTATAGATGACTAAGATCATATAATAAAGACCCAAATAAAATGCAGAAATACAATTTTATCATAATGTTATTGTTTTTATAGTTATGCTGCCACCCTGATCCATTTTTTACTTCCATCCACTGTACTTTCAGCATCCTTTTACCAGGCTAGAGAGAGAAACATCACTCTAGTCAAATCCACAATCTCTTTTCTACCCCTCTATAACCAATAAGGGAAATAAACAACTAAAGTAATGTTTGGTTGAAGTTATATCATATAAGCCCTGTAATGTTTGCCTTTTTGGTTCAACGGAATAAGATTTCAAACTTGGTTTTTAGTTTTTTTTTTTTTTTTTTTTTCTGTCACATTCATAGGAATCTCATTCCCAATATAAATGTTTAGATTATGTGAGATTTCTAGGAATGTTATATTACCTGAAAAACTCTTTCAAATATACGCCCCCTAAACAATAGAAAAACAGAAGTTTTAAATTTTTTTCTTTCAAGGGGTTGTATATGGATGTCAATAAGTCTCTTCACTATTCCTCTCTATTTGCTATTAAATGGAATGTCCAATGAAGAGTTCAAATGTAGCAGAAATGCTTGCTTCAGATAAACTCCTTTTTACATCTTCAGTACATTTGCTATAAATTGGAATGTCCAAAGAACATTGCACATAAAGATAGTTACTCGCATGTCCTTGATGGGAAAAGGTGCAGTCAAAATTTAGTACATAATTGCAGTATGACAATTCCAAGTAAATACCATCAGTAAATATATATAAAGAGGAAATAATGACCAACCATGGTGGCAAATGTAACCGTGATGAAAACAAGAGATTCATTGCTCAAGTTAACATCTAATGCAGTGGCAAGAGCTGTTGGTACAACTGTGAAAAGAGATGTCCGTGTGTAGCATTAGTTATTAGAAAATTATTAAAATAATTATCAGAAGTGGAAAAAAAAAATGCAAGGGAAATGGAAGGTCAAGATTCAGAGGAGAATAAATCCTGAGCACAGTATTAGCAAAAACAAATAAAGGAGAAAAGTTACCTCTCAAGAAATAGTCTCTCCATGACATTGGTATAGTTGGCTTATATCTTTCAGACCAAATCCAAGTTATTGCATTAGCCAAAATAGCTTGCATTGTAAAATGGACAGTATTCATAAGTAGGGGAGCAGGGAACTTCCCTAAATGATCCCCTAGAAGTGTTTTATTATACCTGTCCCATGCAAAGAGAGAATAAGACGAAAAATAAATGATTTTCAGAGTTTCAATACACCAGGCAAGAAGAAACACTTAAAACGTTGTCATTATCCAGGCAAGGGAGAAACTTACAATGTCAAAATTGTACTGAAAGTATACCAAACAAGTATAAAGAACAGTGTCTTCAGCACATCAGCAACCGAAATAGGACTTCTGGAAAACGGCCTTGATGTGTTGTGATAGTTTACAAATTTCTCGTCCGGTGATGAATCCGAACTCCGACCATCTTTAGAACCATGCTCTACATCAAATGGCACATAACTCTCTTTCCCATGTCTTGCAGACACATCACCAAAGTCAACACCACGTGTCATTCTTTCCCAAAATGTACCTCTTACCTGGTGTCTCTCTGCCTCTAAAGATCCATTTCCTATCTCACTTTCACTATGATGAAGGTGAGGCAATTCAAAATCCGAATCCTCAGCACCACTATTCACATCCCCCAGTTGAGGTGAATGGAACGCTCCATTCTCATCGAACCAGCCGGAGAAGGAAGGATCCCTACGGAAAACCGACACGGGATGCTCACTAAAGCTGCCCTCACTCTGACCAACCTCAAGCTTCTGTAAAGGAAGCTCACTTTCTACCATCTCAGAGCCATATATCCATCGGCTCGATCAACATTCCCAGTCCCCAATCAACCCCTCGCAGCTCGAATCTCACTGAAATAAAACCCCACGAGCAGCCCTAAATAGTAATCCAAACTATCCGGGATCTGGCAACTCAGAAATTCCTCACCTCTCCACCTAATTCAATAAAGTCAAGTTCATTTCCGAAGAACCAAATGAAACAATATCCAAAAAACTAAAAATAAAAAACATAAAAAGGGATCTTGCGATTCCAATACATCACATGATTAGGAGAATGCGAAGCATAAGAATTGAACTCACCAGAGTCTGGGTGGAGCCAAAGAGCTGAAGAAGAAGATGAAGGAATTATATGACAGATTCGAGGGTTTTTTCCTGGTGGGAGATCAGGTTTGGGAATTCAGATCTGTTATGGGGAAGAATACGGAGGGAAGGAATTGGTTTGACGTCGGGGGTGAAGTCGCTGTCTTCTGTTACGAGTTCGGAAGCCGGAAGCTTTCCGAGCTAAAGTATTTGTTGACTTGTCTAATGTTTTTGATTAAATTCCAAGATTTCAGCTGCCACGCACCAAATAATAATAACACCTCAAAACTTATGCACCCAAAAATGGGTAAAGAAATTCAATGTGAAATTGTGAAGCATGTTTCCTGAAAAAAAAATAAAAATAAAAAAGAAGGTTCTCGTTCAAAAAATATTGGAACCATTTCTTTCCTTTTTCTATGACGTCAAAAATCTATATCTATATCCATGTTGCAAAAATCGGCCTAGGCAGTCGTCTATGCATTAGGTGCCCCTAGACTGTGGCGATTTCTTCTCTAGACGAACGTCTAGGCGTTCGGCTCTAACTCGCCGAGTTGACAGCGAACTGGACCGAGTTAACTCGTTCAATTCGGCCGAGTTGACATACAATCACACATGTGCACTGTTTTTTCTTGCTTTTAGTTAGTCGCCTAGGCGCTAGGCTCTATCGCTTTATTAGCACTTAGCGCCTACTGCAACCATGTCTATATCTAATAACATTTAAAAAAAAAAAAACTTAATCGTTAAGTTCATTAATTAACCATATACTTTTTTTTTTTTATCATTTTTCATGTCTCCATTAGAGCATCTACATATGTCCAAGACTTTTTGTGATTTTTTATGTGCCACTAGAAGAGAGAACAAGGGAAAAAAAAAATACAAAAGTCTGTAAAACTTTAAAAAAAAAAAAAATCAAAAGACCTTTCTTCTTCAGAGTGGCCGCCAGCTGGCAAGCGTGAAAAACACGCGCCCGCAGGAGCGACAATGGTTTTTTTTTTTTTTTAATTGCTGACAAAATCTTGTGTTTTGCCTAAAAATCATCTTCCACATCAATAAACAAACCAAACCCTAGTTTTTTGGGCCGACAAAAACCAATAAGAATGCATTAGTATGGATACTCTTATGTTATCTTTATCCATGCAATACTCTCTCACTCTAAAAAATGAGTCTCAATTCCACATCATCAAATTTGCAATTCTTTTACTATTTACTCTACATCCCTACAATAGTGTTTCACTTCCCAGAGCGAGCTCACTTTCATATTATATTATAAATGTACTAATAATAAAATAATATTAAAAAATAGTCAAAAAGTTGCCCTGCGTGGTCCCATTTTCATGTGAAAAGTGCAACGCCAATAATAACTTAGGAATGAAAAGTGAGCATGACCAAACTCATAAATGAATTCCACGATTACCCAATAACTTATGAACGAAAAGGTGCAATTTTCCCTTAAAATGAAAAGTAATTAATATGATTATTAACCTTCTTTGTTTTGTGTAATTGTTTACTATAATATTGTTCTATAATTTTTATTTTTGAAAACGAGTAAGAATGTTTAAATCATTGCACAAAATTGAAACTAAAACCTTATTACATAGAAGTGTGGAAAAGATTTTGGTACCTCCCATTTCAATGTTGATATTTGAATAATTTATAAATAATTCATATTTTTCTTATTTTTCTTCAACGACTTCATATAATCCTATGAGTAAAATATTATGTAACTTTTTATTTTTGGCATGACAAATTGAGGTGGGAGGTTAACAAAATTTTCAATAGAAGTATAGAACTAAGGACATTCCTATTATAGTAAGTTTTTGAAAGAGAAAAAAATCGCTAATTTTGATTCGTGCATGATGTTTGAAGAAATTCTTTTAGAACCACTACACGTTGCACTTGGTGCACAAACAATACCCAATGAACACGTGACAACTGTTGCACAATTGTTTTTTATTTTTCTTTATCTTATTAGCCCGACAAAAAACTCATTTTTACATTTTACTCATGTAGTTGCTTTAAAAGCTTGAAATGAGCATATGTTTTAAAAAGAATTGAATTAATCTAAACCAACTTAAGACAAGACCAAAACCAATGACTTGGACTTTACAATTGTGGAAAATAATAAGTATATTTTCTCATCACATGTCTGTTTTATTTTCAAATAAATAAAAACTATGATGTAGATCAATCACATATTACACTATCATGTCAACATGTACATACACTATAAAAACATAGAAGGTTAGTGTATCGATCAAGAATTTGAAGATTTGAAGGAAATACTCAAATAGCCGCCGCATCGATCAGTTTCCAGTTGCTGGAGTGAAATGCCCCATTTGTTCTGCAAAAACAATCATACATTCTCTACCATTTCTGATCCCAATCTCTCTTCTCTCCGACTCAACTTCCTCCGTCAGGAACTGTTGCCAGAACACATCGTTCCCTCCGACGACGGGCACAGCCGCCGTAGAGCTCCTTCCCTCTAACCGATCTTTCAATCTATCAACATCTACGGCGGCACAATTCCAAGCAGCTTTAGCGTTTCCATCGGCGCCGGGATGCTTGGTATGCAAAGACGAAATTTCAGGGGTATCAGTTTGAGTGGAAGGTGATGAGAAACGGGAATCTCCGGAGGGGGCTTGTGGAAGCGTCTCGAAATTTCCATAAGCTTCTTCTCCGTTAGAAATTCCGTTGAGGATTTTCTGGCAAACAGTTATGGAGGAATCCAGGTTGTTAACCAGCTCCAAATGGCCATTAGAAACGGAGGGTTTCCGCTTCTTGTTATGAACTTCAAGGTGGTGCAGAAGATCAGGTTTCAGAGATAGCTGCGCTACGAGGGCCAGAACTTGGCGCTGCCGCTCATCAATGCTCTGTAATCTCGAATCCAATGACTGAAACTCAAATCTGCATTCGCGATTCTCCTGCTCGCGCCGGTCTAACTCCACCCGGAGCGAGCTGTTCTCCTGCTTCAACCTCTCTATCTCCTCTTCGAATTCCCGTCTCTCCGGTTCACTCAACGGAACGCCGGAATTTGGTTGAGCAGAGTGGCTGTGGATTGGCTTGCGGCGATGAATGTTCTTCAGGAGATGCGTCTGCCCCCTTATAAACTCATCGTTCGCGAACTCCCACTGCTCAGCATCAATCTTTCTGAAGCCCTGCCATAGCCCACACAAAATTCTAAGATTATCATTAATTTTTACAGGTTACAATAAAATCACAAGTCAATACAAACTAATCAACACTAAGTCTCAAGGAGGTAGAAGAAAAAGTGAAGAGTGAGTGCATGCTTACATAAGTATTAAGCTGTCGGATGAAGCTGGAAAAATTGTTGTGCTTAAAGTACTTGGGCAGCAAGTCCCGGGCAAATTCCGGCGGATTCCAAACCACAAAACTCCGGCCGCCGCGGCTCCATGAAACAACGGCGCTGTTTGCACGGTCATCCACCAGCTCATATGTCTTTGCCAGAAACGGCGCAGGTGAAGCAGAACCCCCCTGAGTTCCATCCATTTCACACCAAATCTACTTTATATATGTACCTTTCTGTTTTCATCCAATTCAGGGAAAAAACAAGCACTGACAAAATACCCCTTTATTATGAGATTGCTGTTTAAAGATTGAAAGTTGAAACTTTTTCAAATTTAAACCGAAACCCAGATGATAAAACTGAAATTGGCCAAACCCCAGTAGATTCTTTGACAGAAAATCCTAGAGTACTAGTACTAGAGATTCATAAACTGGAACTAGAAAATGAGATTGTTGAGTGGAAGAAAGCACAAGAGAGTGTGTATATATAAACTAATAAAAGCGAGAGGAGGAAGGGGAGTTTGATTGACGGCCTCACAGTTCACCTTGACCGAGAAAAAAAAAAAAGGAAGAAAGAGTAAGGATTTGAGTATTTGACTTGGAACAGGATGAACGTTTGTTCGTTGTATTTGACCCACTTTTTGCTATGTTGTCGGCGGTCCAAGTTTGAAGAGAAGTTGCAAGTGGACGTATAATTTTGCCTCTAGTGACTGGAACTAGTGGGGATAGCCGCCTAATAAATTTCCAGGAATTTTAATAAGTTATTATAAGTTGTAAAAAATAAAAAAAAATTAAACATTTACTATAGCATGCATATATGTTTTTTTTTTTTTGTTTTTAAATTAATACTCTGTACAATCTAACTTATCTATAGTATAACCTCTAACCTTTCATTTGGAAAGGTAATAGTAGGCTACAAAGTACTTGGCTCTAGTACAGATATATTAAAAAGAAAAGAAAAAAAAAGCAAATAAATTAGGCTCTTCATATTTACAAGGAAATAGCATGGAAGTGGTTTACTTTAGCAAAGTAAGACAAATTGTCGGGTAATGGTTGAGAGAGTCGAGTCAAGCATTTTTCTATCAAAACGTGACACTAACTACTACGTAAGTATATATATGAAAATAAAGTTAGACCTTCACTACTAACTATAGCTTTTAACATAATGATAAATACTCGATCCTGACACAAATATTTCATAGGCAATTCCGCTTATTAAAAACTTTTCAACTACTTTGCCTAGTTAATCCCTTAAAAGTACATTTTTAATCACAAAACAGATTTAGCATTTTAGTAACATCCATTTGCTAATTTGGTAAATAATTTGGCTTTTATGCATTTAAACATCATATTTGAGAATTCATGTATCACCGTGACGGTAAATATGTTACCGAAAATAGAATATTATAAGAGTAACGAATGATGTGACAAGGTAACAATAGATGTAACAATAGTTGTATTACTTCTTGTCTCAGTATAGAAAGTACAGTGTCCCCTGCTCAGCTGAGGGAAGTTCTATTTATGCTAGGTCCTAACGGTAACAACATGAAGAGTCATCATTGGGGAGCTGAGCTAACGGCAAGAATATGAAGAGTCATGAATGAGGCGTTGAGGCTTTAACTCTCTCTCATCAAAGGTGGCATCAATGGTGGCTTCAAAGACAATAAAGGTGACACCTGTTGGAATTCCTAACCGTTGGAGTTCTGCCCGTTGGGTTCCCATGTGATGCTGAGTCAATGCCCATTTGTGATCCGGGTCGGGTGCCAGCCCTATTATCCTGTCACACCGATTGGCCAAACACATTGTGCTCGGATGGCATGTAGTGATCTCTCTCATGTGGAAGGTCATGAGATCAAGTCTGATATTACAATCATAGACGGAGCCAAAGGGGGGCAGGAAGGTCAGCTGCCCCCCCCCCCCCCTCACCCCCACCCCCACCCCATATATAATCTTTGAATGTATATATGTATATATAGTACATGTTTGAGTATTAGTATATAAAAACTGTTAATTATTAATAGGAAATGAGTTAGTCTAGTTGGTAGAGTATGTGTTTGGTATAATAATGAAGGTTAGGGGTTCAAATTCTTTGGTTGTCAATATAGTTTTACAGTTTTTTTGGGCTCCTTCCCTATGACTTCGCCCATATCCAATAATATTTACACCTATATTTCTTAGGTAATTTATTTATTTATTTTTTAAAATCTCTTTTATTTTAATGTTTCGTCTTTACTAGAACAAATTTCTGAATCCATCCGTATTTCGGCCCCCCTCAACATAATTTCTGGCTCCGTCCCTGATTATAATGTAATAGAGTCACTAGCATTATATATATATATATATATATATATATATATATATATATATATATATATATATATATATATATATATATCACCGAGTGAAAAATAGCATAAAATGACACTATGGGGTTCACTTCTCATTTGAAAATTTATTCATAATTTGGCCGCCTACATTAAATGATTGGTTGGCCTCCGTAGTGCAGATCAGAATGGGATACGATATGATGTTGATGTTGAGTGAGTGCTGCCATGTAACTTCCGTGATCTAAGCTCTCTTTCCTTGACGGATTTAATTTGTTTGTAACAGGATGGAGGACTTAGCTTGCTATATTCGATCGTGACTTTGCGAAGAGAGACGTGGAAGAAATTAAAGAACAATTTCGAAATGCATGCATGGAGTATTTTTTTTTACAAAAAATTTGCAATACTATACATGAAATCGAGTGTAGTTGGTATATATTTTAGATTTAGACTTCTGCAGTTTAGAAAGTGAAGAGATTGTTATTGTAGATTTGTAGTGTTATAATAAGGTAATGTTGAGTTTGAAGCAGAGTTTTTAATCACTCCTAGTCTCCTACTATTTCTTCGACTACCGTTTATTTAAATGGCATTTCGAAGAGTGATTATAGTAGTCTCAAATGGAGCTAATAAAATTAATTGTACACACTATTTTTTTTTTTTTTTATTATAGCAAAATATACACCACAACATCTTGGTGCTTAATTTGGAACTTTGTAAAGCAACTAACCCAACTTAGCTTAGTAGAATTATATGTTAACCAGCTGAGTCAAATGATTACTAACTGAGGTAATCTAGCATTGAGCTTATTGTATCAGCTTGATCAACTAAGCTAGTATATCAACTTATTTACTCATCAACTTGATGAGCTAGTATATTAGCACATTTCATTAACCACCGAGCTAATTTTTTGTACATCAGCTCATCTAACTGAGCTAAATTTTAGTACGTAAGCTCATCTTAAGTTTTAACGTAATCGAGCTAAATTTTAGTACGTTAGCTCATCTTAAGTCTTAATTAACCGAGCTGAATTTTAGTCCATCAGCATATCTAATCGAACTGATTTTTCTTATGCATTAGCAGATCAACTTCAAACTTTTTCTTTCCCAATCAAATAACTTCTTACCAAACTTTAAATAATATTTATAACACTACAACACCCAAATATTATTTATGCTTTTTCTGGTAGAACATTTGAAATTTAATCACCATTACTATATAAATTTTTAACATTATTAAGTAGGAAAGCAATAATTGATGTAAGAATAAACTATTCTTGACTTCTTGCCACTCAAAATAATGGTCGAGAACAGTGTTATGTTTCACTAAATGCAACCTAAATGATGGAGGTTACATTTATACCAATTTGCATTGTAAGATAAACTAGAGCTAATTGATGTAATAGAAATACTTCAAGTGTACAAATTAAAATAATTAATTTGTTAGGAAAGTATTTACTAGTTTCTTTTGTCATTTTAAAAAAAATAAAAAAGTCTCATAATTATCTCATTTGTCTTTTAGTAAGTTTCATAATCGGAACATCTTAGTGACCCTAAAATTATTATTTTTTAAAAAAATATTTAAATTTAAACTAGAAGTATTTATTTTGTAATAAATTAATAATCCTTGAATTAAATAGATTAGGATGAGATAGATGTGCATTATTGAGAAGTGATTGAGTGGGGGTGGGGCATTGATGAAGCTTGCGCAGCCAAAACCTACCCTACCAACCACAACATGTTTGCAGTTAAATAGCCAAAATTTTCAAAGATGGATTGCGGAGAAAATAAGCACACTTCATGCATGCATCATCAATAACAGTCTAACCCCAGATATTTTTAGATTACAGGGATACACACTACTTCACTAAAACATCCTCATAGAATTTAAAAAAAAATAAAAATAGATTACATTAATATTAAGGTGGCAACCTACCTTATCTCTTAAAGCATCCTCAATAGTATGTAAATAATGTGAGTTTGACCTTTTTCTTTTTTCTTTTTTCTTTTACATACTGAAGCTCAACGAGTCAATACCGCATCCACTGATGAGGCTCAAACCCATGACCTCCCACTTGGTGACAGATTATTGTGTGGATGGTCCAAAATAATGTATTTTATGAGTTAGAATAATGTACTTTATATGTTAAAATGATTTTTTTTTTGGATAAAATAATGTACTTTATGAGTTAAAATAATGTAATTTATATGTTAGAATAATATATTTTATGAGTTAGAATAATATGTTTTATGTGTTTTTGGACCGTGGTCCATACAATAATGTTTGGTAGCTGGTGCCCTAGTTTCAAATAACCCATCCTAATTCATTTTTGAATTTGTGTGCAGATTAACCTAATAAATCTTTAATAATAACTTCAACAAATATAATCACATATTTAATATTTTGTTTGAAACAACCAGCATATATAAACATGTGTACGTTTATAAGTATAAAATTCAACATATTTGAAAAGATCATGCTACAGTTTTTACTAAAATTATTTTTTTTTAATAATTACTGATTCGTGTGTCATCATTTTATTAATTATTTTTATATCTAATTATGATGTTGACTCTTTATTATACAAACCAAAATGAGGGAAAAAAAAGAAGCAATCTAATCCAATTCAATAAAAGAAAAAGGTACAAAATAAAAAGAAAAGGTAGTTTAAAAAAGACAAGGAAGAAAGCTCCAACCATAGCCAACATCTTCTGACTTCGGCAACTAAAATAGATTGGACATTTTGTTTTTGGATGAAAGATTATGCACCTTTTATTAATATAAATAAATGCGAGAAAGCGACACATACTTCCCTACCCCCGCCCTTAACTCATCAAAATTTCACATTTAACCCCTGCATTCCATTTTTTTTAATACTTAACCCCTTAGCTTCTTCCGCTCTTATTTGTATTCTAGACTTCTAGAGTTGTCAAAAAGGACCAACGAACCCCAATGAGTTAGACCTATTTAAATCAGCTTTAAACTAATTGAGTCGGAGATTTTTTCAATAGACCCGTTTATCCCACCAATCCAATATGTGACATGCCGAGTTGTAAAATATAACATGGATAAAAACGGGCCGAGTTAATTTGTTTTGACATATCTCTACTACCCTCCTCCTCATTATATCACTGTAATGCCAAAAATACCCCCCAGTGGCTAGATAGGCTCCCATTCAGTCCAACCATTTTCTTGACTTTTTTTTTTTTTTTTTTTTTTTCAAATATCCAAAAACAAAAAAATAAAAATAGCAATTCTTTTCCATAACATTCATTGAGTTTAGAATTTGTGTAGATTTGGATATATTATTTTTACTGATTCCCTCATTGGGCAGAAGTAAAACCAAACCATATTCAATCCCTATTGAAATCATCACAACATCATTTGATAACCAGAAAACAATATACGACCACTAAATATCAAAATTCTGTTGCTTCGATCTGCAGCTCGATCTATTTATCACTTCATGCGCTAAATATATATATATATATAGGGTGTAGTAAGGTGCCAGAGCAATGCAAAGCTCAACCAATAAATATAACCTAAAGCTTGTCAAGATCAAGACCCAAAAAGGGTCATTAGATCCTAGGTCGGCTCCTGAAGAGATGGTGGGTAGTGGTACTAAAGATGGTAGAGGATGGAAGCTAAGGGGGTTAAGTATAAGAAAACTGAGATGATGGGCGTTAAGTGTAAACATTTGGTGAATTAAGGGGCGCAAAGTGTTGTTAATCTATAAAAAAAAAAAAAAAAAATGAAGCAGGACACGGCAGCCGGCAGGGATGCACATTATATTATTGGCAGATTTATATATATTTATTTTCTGAATTTCTGTGTGTGTAAGTGTAAAGAGCAGACTTTTGGCCGGTTGACCAACTGCTGCAGATTGAGAAATGGCGATTCCTCCAGCTGGCCGGCGTGTCCAAGAGATCTCCGCCGAGGCGGCGGAGCCACCGCCGCGTTTCTTCGTCAAGGATAACGGATTTGGAGGTGGTGTTTCTTCCGCCCAGCTAGGTGATATCCCGGTCATCGATCTCAATCTGCTACTTGGCACTGACCCAGATGCTAAAGAAGCTGAATTTACCAGATTCAAATCAGCTCTCAACTTCTGGGGTTGCTTCCAGGTCTTCTTTATTCCATCTAACACTTCATTATTTTAGATATATAATTGCCAAGTTCATTTTCTATAGGGTAATGAGTAAATTGCATCTTATGACCCTAATTACAAAGGAATAGATTGTTTATAGCTGATATAATTAAAGTTCTTTTTATTGTACTATTTTGATTAAATTTTAATTTTGGTTCTGTGACTATTGAGGTCTTGTTAATTATGTTGCCGTCTACAACCTTCACAGGTGTTAATTTAGTATATTGACTATGTAATTTTTTTCATCAATTTTGATCAATCTGACTAAATTTGTAAAATACCCTCATTATTTGATCAATTAAAATTTTTCAGCGAAATTTGACCGAAGAGGTCAAAATTGATAAAAATTGCATAGTCAAGATACTAAATTAACACTTTTGAAAGTCGTAGACCGCAATTGATAGGACCCTTATAGTCACAAGACCAAAATTGAAATTTACTCTCCTATATATTTCTTTTCCTTGTAGTTGATTGGCCATGGAATGTCAAATTCATTTCTTGAGAGAGTACGATGTGTGGGTAAGGAGTTCTTTTCCCTACCAATGAAAGAAAAAGAAAAGTACGTTCGATCCACCCAAGGTCTTGAAGGGTATGGGAATGATTCCATATTTTCAGAGAACCAAATATTGGATTGGTGTGATCGACTGTTTCTCAAAATTCACCCTCAAAATCAAAGAAATCTTCACCTTTGGCCTCAAACTCTTCCTGACTTCAGGTATAGTTGAAAATGTTTCATATGTACGTCGAATAATTTTGTATATGTACAACTGTAATCTTCACCTCATGTTATAGATCAATGCATGTGTCAATTTATGATTTTTTTTGTGATTTTCAGGGAAATAATGCATGAATATAGCACAAAGATGAAGGGTTTGGTAGATGAGCTGTTAAAGATCATGGCAAAATCATTAAATATAGAAGAAGATGGTTTCTTGAATCTGATTGGGGATGAACCGACCTTGGAAGCAAGGTTCAATTTCTACCCAAAGTGCCCAAAACCAGATTGGATTTTAGGGGTTAAAGCTCATGCAGATTCATCGGCACTCACCATTCTCCTGCAAGACAAAGAAGTTGAAGGACTTCAAGTTCTCAGGGATGGCAACTGGTACAGTGTCCCCGTATTGCCTCATGCCTTAGTGGTCAACATCGGAGATCAAATGCAGGTATATATGCTTTAGTCTATGATATATCATGGAATTTCAGACTACTTGAAAGTGATCATCAAGTCGAAAGTAAAAAGTGGTCGGAAATAGCAACAAAGGTTTTTCCGAATACTAAAAGTGGTCGGAACAAGACTTTCAACTTGATTTAAGGTCTGAAATTCCATAATTTTCAGCCCTGATATACCCATAGCTAGAGATAATGTAAAGTTAATTATGTGTCTAAAATGGAGTTGCAGCTAATGAGTAATGGGGTGCTGAAGAGCCTGGTTCATAGAGCAGTGGTGAGTTCAACACAAGAAAGGATTAGCTTGGCCGTGTTTTTCACGCCGGACGGCGACAAAGAGATCGAACCGGCTGAGGGTTTGGTAAATGCGGAGAGGCCAAGATTGTATAGGGGTGTGAAGAACTACAGGGTGATCAATATGAAGTGTTTTCAGAGTGGGGAAATCGCCATTGATACGCTCAAAATTTGACTTCAATAAACTTTCCCCCAGGGCCCAAGCACACATATATAAGTTGCTTAATTGAATTGAATGAACAATGTCATATGTGGTCTAATAATGAGTTTCATTATAGTAACATTAGTTGTACACGTAACTGGCATTGACCCAGATGCCAAAGAAGCTGAATTTACCAGATTCAAATCACCTCTCAACTTATGGAGTTGTTTCCCGGTCTTCTTTATTCCATCAAACACTGCACTCCCCTGTTGTACATATTTCGGTATTTCATGTGATGGTTTTGTTGGGACCATGATTACTGAAAAATAGTAGTATTATTGCTCGGGGCGCTAGGTCCAAAAGAGTAGATTCCAAGCCTGAGATATTGGGATGGCCCAAATGATAAATAATAAATAACACAAATTATAGCCTAATGTTCAGCTTAGGAGTTAGGACCCCAAGTCAGGGGGATTGAGTGAACTAAGGGACGATGATCTTTTAAGAGGAGAGAATAATGGTTAACAAATGTACAAGTGTACAACATCGGCTTCTTCAATATTAGCCATACCCTTGTCCCCTCACTATCGGGATGTCAACGATTTTCACACGGATAAATAGAGTATTATACCTTCTTATACGTGATATCTTGAGTGGCTTGGATGGTTGGTGTTTGGGTTGTTATATTGAAGGTTATGCGTTTAATACCCCCGGCAGCGGCACCAGGGGGTTCCATGTCATAAAAAATTATGGATTCTAATTTTAAAAGGTATTGATGTACTAAATACGGGGTGTATCATCTACAATCCCATAACGGTTCCGGGTTCGGATCTTATGTATGGTCCGATTCGTTACCTTTTAATAGAAAAGTGTTTAAATTAGTCATCAAACTAAATACGATAATGCAATGAAATCATTCAATTTATCTAAAAAATACTTGTAATTAGGTCTTTTGACTATTTAAAATTAAGCAATTCGTTCAAAATTGACATGTTCCCCCGGTTATCGTTGATGTGACGGTCATCCTATTAAAAATTTATATTTACATTTATTTTAAATTTTTTAAATAAAATAATAAAAAAAATTCACCCCCTCCCCGTCTTTGTCTCTGTCGGTCTGTCCTAGAGACGAAAAGCTTTCTTCGTATCCGACTTGGAGATGAAGAAGTTTCTTTGTTTCCGACATGGAGACGAAGATAGGGAGGGGATACTTTTAAAATTTTAAATTATTAAAATAATTTTTTTAATATGGTAGCTGCCATGTTAGCAATAACACGAGAACATGTCAATTTTGGGCTAATTACATAATTTTAGACAGTTCAAAGATCCGATTGTAATTAATTGAGTTGAATGACCTAATTGCATTTTCGCGTATAGTTCAGTGCTAATTCGAAACTTTTTTCTTTTCCAATTATATCCTAATGATTTTAGATTAGATATATGTGAAGTTGATGTGTCTTACCGAAATGGAGCAGCGAATTAATGAGTAATGGGATGTTGAAGAGGCTATACTTGTTGATAGAGTAGAGGTGGGTTCAAGACTTCAAGTAAAGAAAGGATGGGCTTGGCCATGTTTTTTCACACTGGACGGAACATATGGAGATCGAACTAACTAGCCGAGGGGTTGGTATACGTAGATGGAGAGAGGCCACTATTATTGTATATAGGAGTGTGGAAAACTATAGTGAGATCAACATGAAGTGTTCTCGGAATGGGACAAATATAATAGCCATTGATAGATGATACTACATATCTTACAAAAAGCAATTTTTGGAAACAAGATTTGTATTAACATTTTAAAAACTATTTTCTCCCATTTAATAGCAATTTTTGTTATGGATCAATGACAATTCAACTCAATCAGGACATGAAAAATCGATTTCCACCTTGATCGGAACAGAGAACTTTTCCGGGGATGGGGAGAGCTTTCTCATCCCTGCCGGGGACAACCGGACAACATCAAGACCCCGATCCCATATATATATATATATATATATATATATATATATATATATATATATATATATTAAAAAGTAAATTGAATGAAAAAAATTGTTTTATTATGTTTGGAGCTTGGAATAATTTGAAGATTTGGACCTTTGGTAAATGGTATTTGGTCTAAGGAATTAATATTTGACTCATGTGGGGGGTCATGAGATCGAGGCTCAATAGAGGTATTATTGACTCTGTGCTTTATTAGGTTGAGAAATGTAGCATTCAAAAAAAAAGGAGAAATCTTTGTTCCCAAAAATCTCCCCAAGGATGGAGATGGGTGACCATTCAATCCCTACTATTTGCTTATGCGTGTAGGTTGGGTTATGGATAGTAATTTTTAAAATGAGAATACATAAATATGTTTCCATAAACTAAAGTTGAAAACAATTCTTGCCAACATCATTTCAGTTGAACCTGTCGCATAAAATTTTTTAATGTAATTTATCTCTAATGTGTGATTTATGAGTTATTACAAATGAATGAAGTTTATTCAATGTACTTACACGCTTGATAATGACTAAGTGTTTTTTTTTTTTTTCTGTCACCTAAAGAAAAACAAAAAAGTTACATTTTACTCTAATTCTCCAATTGCTTGTTTTTAAAATTTTCATACTATATATTTTATTTTTCAAATGAAAGCTGAGAAAAGTACACGTAAAAACTAATAGGTTTTCTGATCCTTTCATCAATTTTTCACAATTGTTATATCATCGGTCCATCTTACATTGTGAACCCTAATAAAAAGATTATGTGTCTGTAGTTAACAAATTATGTACTTACAATTAACAATTTATGTACCTGTAAACAAATTGAAGACACATAACATGATAACTACAGACACATAAATTATTAACTGCAGGTACAAAATATGTTAATCGTAAACACATGAGATGTTGATTAACTTGTTATGTGTCTGCAGTTAACATATTATGTACATGTAGTTAACAACTTATATGTCATATTATGTGTCTATAATTATCATGTGGTGTGCCTTTGATCAATATGTTTACAGGTATATAAACAGTTAACGGTAACTCGGTAAGTACAAAATATGTTACTTGGGATGCAAAATTAAAGTTATTTTTAAAACATGGTCTACAATTTCAGGTAGACCATGGTCAATAATATGACAAATTATATCGTGCACCGCAGTGCATAATCGATTATGCACCGCGCATCAAAACGACGTCGTTTTGTTTAATGAAAAGAAACGGCATCCGTTTTCCGCCGTTTCGCACCCTTCCGCAAAAAGTAACTCTGTTATTCAATTTCATTTTGTATACACTGCAGTGTCAGTTCAACAAAACTGCAGTTTCATTTGATATTTATAGACTCAAATATGTGAAAATATTATTTAATTTTATTTTATATACACTATAGTTTTATTAAAACACAACTACATGATCATTTTGATATAATTACAGCTTCATTGTACAATATACACTCAAATATGTGAAATGTTATTCAGTTTCAATTTATATACACTGCAGTTTCATTTCACCATAACTACAGTATGATTTTGACATAACTACAGTTTCATTTGATAATATAAAAATAATACGTGAGGCAGTGTCGGTTTAAATATACTGTAGTGTCAGTTGGTAATTAACATACAAAAAAAAAAAATGCGTTCCGTTAACACTAGCAGTGCACCATTTTGACCGCGGTGCATGTGTACTGCGGTCCACGATATAACCACTGCAATAATATAATTTGTCCCTTCTCCATTCAATAAACAAACACCCTAATTTTTAGAAATTGCTAATCAAATGAATTCTTGAAAATTTAAAGATGTATTTTAAAGTTTTATAACCCATTTTGAAAAAAAAAAAAGTTTGTTTGAAATAAAATTTCACAAATTAGTTCAGATTTAATTTAAAAATTAAAAAGATGCACATATTAGTTTAACCCACCCACACCAAAAATAATTTTAAAGCACTTTTTAAAATACAAAGGATGGTGACAAATATAATCTTATTTAATTCCTTATTGGTCCACTGTCGTAATCAATTACCCAATCTCATAACTATTGATGTTACTGTTTTTTTTTCCCTGCTAAATATGAAATCCAGTAAAATAAGATTAAAATCTACTAATATCCAATCTCATTGGCAAAATTTCCTATGAAAGGGTGGAGGTTTTTTTTTTTTTTTTTTTTTTTTTTTTTTAAGTACTACACCCCTTTTCATAAACATTACAATTTTTTTTCATAAGTAACTTCTTTAACTCCTAATATTACATTTTGATTTAAAAATATTACATTTTATCATTAAAAGTATGATATTTTTTATAAATATTATAATTTCTCTCATAGATAACAATTAATCAATTTATTACTAACTAATATTATATATTTTTAATAAGTAACTGTTCAATCTAAATATTACATTTTGATTTAAAAATATTATATTTTTATAACAAATATTACATTTTTTATAACAAATATTATACTTTCCATAACAAATACTCAATAATTTTTTTTCTAATTAATATTACATTTTTCGTACGGCATAAAAGAGTCTTACCTATGTTTTGGTAATGTAGTCTGCATCTCCTAAAATGGAAAGGCAATAATTTTCGAACACTTTCCTTGTAATCATATTAATTAACCTTAAAAAGTTAAAACCAAACCTTATAAAAGAAAACCCACGCCCTAATACTTTATTCATTTGATCAAAATCACATCATATATTATTATTACAACGAATTGAAGTTTCTCTCTGTCTGTCTGTCTGGCTGGCCCTCTTTCTAATGGACAGGTTTTTGGGAGTTGCAGCTCTTATCTGTATGCTGAGCCAATCAGTGATCAGCGCGGAGGAGCAGTGTGATATCTCCCAAGGAAGTTGGGTTTACGATGATTATTACCCCTCCTATAATTCATCAAAGTGTCCCTTCATACAGAAGCAATTTAATTGTGTGGCCAATGGAAGACCAGACAGAGATTACTTCCAATTTAGGTGGCAACCCTTTGACTGCAGAATACAAAGGTAGAATGATCGATTCGATGCTTCAATTTTTAATTATTAGTTGATGTTTTATTGAGGAATCTGTGTTTGATTTGGGGAGTAGTGGAAATTAATTCTCTGCAGATTTTTTGAGAGAGATTTTCTGACGTTATTGAGGGGGAAGAGGGTGATGTTCGTAGGGGATTCATTGAGTAACAATCAATGGCAGTCTCTCACATGTATGCTTAGCGAAGCAGAATATAAACCAGGTTCTGACTATGCTTTAACCAGAGTCGGAGAAGTTTCTAATTTCACAATCCCAGTAAGATATATGATTTTGTTAAACTCCTCCTCGTATTATATATATATGCATCTATTATATTGCGGTCTGATATTTGATGAAGATTATTGCGAATTGAATTAAACGCAGAGTTTCAACCTTTCCATCTTTTACCACCGGCGCATGTTTATTGTTGATCTTGATAAGGAAAACGGCGAGAGAATATTGAAGCTTGACTCCATTAGTGAAGGTTCCCGGTGGAAGGAGATGGACCTGCTCATCTTCGACACTTGGCACTGGTGGCTTCACAGCGGCCGGAAACAAGCGTAAGTTTTTTTTTTTTTTTTTTTTTTTTTTTTTGGGTTTGAGAATTAAACTTATAACCTTATTATTATCAAATAAATATGATGAATTGACTGAGGTTGTCTTGTTTTTTTTCCTAGATGGGATTTGGTCAAAGAGGGAAACGTGACATACAAAGATGGGGATCGAATAGTTTTATATACAAAAGCACTTAAAACTTGGGCAAAATGGGTCGACTCAGACGTAAACACCACAAAGACCAAAGTGTTCTTCCAAGGAGTTTCGCCTGACCATTGGGAAGAGTAAGTTCATTTTCCTATGTAAATTAAAATTAATTAATTGTACACAGAAAAATTCAAGCTAATCCCAAAAACCTATCATGGGACGTGTCTCAACGGTTTGGCGGTATAAATATTAGAGGTGTCCAAGGATCGAAACCGAAGACCTGCGAAGGAGCAAAAAAACCAAACTATGATGCAGAAACCAAACCCACATCCCCAGCAGAAGTGGTGCTGGAGGCGGTTCTAAAAAACATGACCAAACCGGTGTACTTGCTGGACATTACTAGGTTGTCACGGTACAGACCAGACGGGCACCCGTCGGTTTACGGCGTGGGAGGCCACAGCAGCCCCGACTGCACTCACTGGTGCCTGCCCGGAGTCCCTGATACATGGAATCAACTCTTGTACGTTGCTTTAACTGAAATTCTCTCCAATAATGCCATTATTTCCAGTGGCACATTCCCTGCATTATTCTTGACTATTTTATATACATTATTGTTTTCGTTGTGGTGTTGAGAATCAGATTCTCTGAACCCAACGAGGTACAGGAATCAAAAGCCCACTAAGAATGTATACTGATTTCTAGGCTATAATTGCATAGTTTCATCTAACTTTTTAGTATTAAATTTAGGAATAAGTGGTGCGTTCTTCACTTTATTAAAATTTATTAGTTTGGTTTTGTTTTCGGTTTATAGCTAAACGTTTTAAGCAGTTTTTACTGTAGATGATAAAATGTCCATTTTTAATATATTGAAAGTTTATTTTTAAATAATATATTAAATAATTAATCTTCAATACACAAAAAAAAAAATACAGTAATTATTAAAAATAAACATTTAATATACTAAACATGAATCTTTAATATAATAAAAATTAATAAGGTGTATCATGATCCATAGTATAATGGAAAAAATAAAAATAAAAATTAGATGGTGTGGGTTCTGCTAGGCAATATAGTTTTCAAAAGCGTAGCAACATGACATTAACCCTATCCGTTAGGCTAAAAGTGAGGCCCATGGGGTTAACGACCCACCGGCACTACACTATATTTTAATTTATTCCCATAGGCCCATTCACATGTAAGACCGCTACGTGATATTTTTGTTCTGTCAATGGCCACAAAATAAATAAATAAATAAATAAAAGAAAAATTAATGGAAATAATAATGTTTTATTTGAGGGACGATTGATGAGGTAAATTCGTAGTCATTATTTGATAGTGTATATTAAGTGATATTTTTAAAATATATATAATTTTTTCTATAGTGTGTATTCTTAAATAGACATCTTTTTTTTTTTTTTTTTTTTTTTTTTGAACAAGTGTTTGTGTATTAATCTATTACTTAATGAGCAATATCAAGATATACTCACTCCAATTCAATCGATTAATTTATTGCCCAAATACAATGCAACTATATAAATACCATTGACCAACAATCTACAAACTTGACATATACATATGATAATAAGTTGAGTTACACTTAAGTCACTAAAGTCGACTCATAACAAATCAGGGCTTAGTATCTCATGCAACGTGAAGTATAGTGATCCAAGTTAAATGGCAATAATTGTTACTAATGAAAAATTGGGATGAATCAAGGGGCGATAATTATGATTTTTGATCTACATAATATTTTTATTTCATGGAGAAGTTTGTACCTGTTATCCAAATGGACCTAATCCTATTGCAGGGCGTTTGGTTGAGATAAGGAACTTAGAGAGAAAAAGAATTGTAATTCGATGGGAAAAGAATAAAGTGAAAATTTAAATTACATTATTATTATTTTTTGAAAACCAAAACAAATTTCAATTAAACTGAAGGAGATAGTAGCAAATGAATACAGTCAGGGATGGATGATTTTTTCAATTCCAAATTATTTAAAAAATTTAATATGGTGACTGTCACGTTAGCAATAACAGGAACACCATGTCAATTTTGGACTAATTACATAATTTTAGACAGTTCAAAGATTCTATTGTAATTTGTTTAGTTGAATTACCTAATTGCATTTCGCGTATAGCTCGATACGTGGCTAATTTGAAACTTTTTTCTTTTCCAATTATATCCTAATAATTTTAGATTAGATATATGTGCACTTGACGTGTCTTGCCGAGATGGAGTTAATGAGTAATGGGATGTTGAAGAGCCTCCTAGTTCATGTCTTCAAAAAAAAAAAAAAAAAAAAAAAAAAAAAGGAAGGATGGGCTTCGCCATGTTTTTCACACTAAACGCAGAGGTTCAATGTTTCCATCTTTTACCACCGGCGCATGTTTATTGTTGATCTTGACAAGGATCGGGACCGAAGACTATTTTATATACAGTATTTTCGTTGTGGTGTTGAGAATCAGATTGTTTGAACCCAACGAGGTACACGAATTAAAAGCCCACAAAGAATGTATTTGATTTCTAGGATGTAATTGCATAGTTTCGACTATTTTCGGAATATTAAATTTTGGATTAAGTGGTGCGTTCTTCACTTTATTAAAATTTATTAGTTTGTGTTTGTTTTCGGTTTATAGCCGAACATTTTAGGTAATTTTTACTGTATACGATAATGGTTCAGTTTTAATATACTTTAAAAAGTTTATTTTTAAATAATATACTGAATAATTAATCTTCGATATATAAAATAATACAGAAATTATAAAAAATCAACATTCAATATACTAAACACGAATCTTTAATCTTTAATATAATAAAAATAAAATTTATATCAATAGTCCATCTAATAAAGTGTATCATAGCCAAGCACCTTGTGCTCAGATGGCATGTAGTGACATCTCCCATGTGGGAGGTCATGAAATCAAGCCTCAGTGAAGACGTTACAATGTAATTGAGCTAGTAGCATTAAAAAAAAAAAATGTATCATGATCCCTAATATATATTAACAAAAGAAAAGAAAAAAGTGTATCATGATCTATCCCTAATATAATGATTGCCATTTCATGTAGCCATCAATCACTTGGTTACAAAAACTAAAAGAAAAACTCCAAATTAAAAACAATAATAATTTAATTTGAATATGTAGATAATGTGGGTTCTGGTAGGCAATCAAAATAAAGTAAATAGTTTGGTTGGTCTAACTAACCCGCCAAATTATGTTGTGCACCGCATGGTACACACGGTTGCAAAACAACATCGTTTTACTATAATGGAGTAACGGTGTCATTAGTGGCACCGTTTAACTCCACCGATTAAATATTTTTTTTTTATTTTTTTACAAAAATTTCAATCGACGTGTAATTATAAATATATAGTTATGAAGTTATAGATATATTGTTATGAAGTTATGGATATATAGAGTTATGAAGTTATGGATGTGTAGTTATGTAATTATGGATATAGTTCTCTATGAACAAGCACTTTAAGAATTCTGAATATGGAGTTATGTAATTATAAATGTCTAGTTGTGAAATTATGAATATATGGTTATGAAATTATGAATGTATAGTTATTATTTTTGAATGTACTGTTGTCAAATTATGAATATATAGTTATGTAATTCTGAATATATAGTTATGTAATTCTGGATATATCATATTATTTGAATACGAAAGGAAACCGCCTAACATCGTTAACGACAATCTGAACGGAATTTATTTTTTTTATAAATAAAACAGCGTCATTTTACAACTGTGCACACGGTTGCACAACATAACGATTGTAAATAATCGTACACCCTATTTTTTTAAAGAGGAATTAAGAATTCAAAGTCTTCTTATATGAAAAAACCAATCTACAATCGCTATAGTGTAATCTAGTAAAAATTAAAAAAAAACCCATATTACTTGGCAATGTAGTTTTCAAAAGCGTACCAACATGACATCAACTCTATCCGTTATGCTAGAAGTGAGGCCCATGGTGTTAACGCGCTACACTATATTTTAATAATTTAGTTTATCCCCACACACATGCATGTAAGACACTACGTCTACGTGATATTTTTGTCCAGTTAATGACCACAGAATAAATAAATAAATAAATAAATAAACTAAAAAGAGTACCAGTAGATAACTCCTATAATAATTCAAACAAAGAATTTTATAATTATCAAATCAATTATCTTTTGAATAATATTACATGTAATAAAACTAATAGTACTCAAAAAAAATAATAATAATTATCTGATGAACTTGAGTAAAAGTTTGCAAAAAAAAAAAAAAAAAAAAAAAAAAGTTTCTGATTAGTAGGGACATAATTCCTGGATTTAGACTTTTTAACCTCCGTAGGTTTAGAAATTTTTGGAAATAAAAATTATACTTTCATCCCTTGGTTATAATACTATAATAAATTAGTCATTCAATTATCAATATATATACCTCTATTCGTAGTTATTAGATTGGCACTAAACGTTAAATATAAAGACATTTCGATCTATTCAATTCTAAAAGTTAATTTCTTTTTTTTTTTTTTTTTTTTTTTTTTTTTTTTTTTGGTTCTAGATTTATATGTGACATTCCACTTATAGTTATTTTTAAAAAATAAAAATAAAAATTCATTCCTATTGGTCTTAACATTATTGTGGTATGATCATTTTTAGTCATATCAATAAATATGTTTAAATGACATTAAAAATGACGTTATTAACTACTCAAAATTCTCATTTTTTCTTCTTGGTATAGAACATTACAAAACTTTTACATCTTCAAAACATTATATACAGTGATCATAAATTCATTGAGATGAGGAAAGCTAATTAAATTCAATTGAACAATCATAATCTGAATACAATACAATAGGAAAAGCTAACGTAGAGATCCCTATCTATCAGGATAGTCAAAGTAGACTAACTCTCTACCACACAAATAATACCTATAGAATACAATAATAATGTGACAAATAATAACTCTACTAATACACCCCCTCAAGCACAAGGGTGATGTAAAACAACGTTGAGCTTGTCACGTAGCAAATCAAATCGCGGCCCTGGCAGAGGTTTGGTGAAGATGTCCGCTATCTGGTCTTTCGTTGACACAAAGCTGACGACGAAGTCCCCTGAAGCTACCTTGTCCCGAACAAAATGAAAGTCTATTTCGACGTGCTTCGTCCTCGCGTGAAAGACGGGGTTGGCGCAGAGATATGTAGCGCCCAGATTATCGCACCATAGAGTTGCCGGTTCACCACTATGCAACCCCAGCTCACGTAGTAAGGATACCACCCAGGTTACCTCCGCCGAGACATCGGCTAGGGCCTTGTACTCTGTTTCAGTCGACGAACGCGCAACAGTGCGTTGCTTCCTGGATAACCAAGAGATAAGATTGGACCCCAAATAAACAGCGTACCCACTGGTACTCTTCCTATCAGTCGGACAGCCTGCCCAGTCTGAGTCTGAATAGGCATGTATCGAAGTAGACGACGACGGTGAAAGACGTAAACCATAGTCGAGTGTGCCTTTAATATAGCGCAGCACCCGCTTCAATAAGACCCAGTGATCATCAGTCGGGGAGTGCATGTACTGACATAAGCGATTCACTGAGAAAGAAAGATCCGGACGGGTGATGGTGAGATACTGCAAAGCACCGACTAGGCGTCGATATTGCGTCGGGTTCTCATACGGTTGTGGTGATGGTGTAACGGCTTGCGTGACTGCAGCTGGAGTGGCCAAAGCTTTGCAGTCGGTCATACCTGCCCTGTGT